TGGAGCTGGGCTGCTACCGCAGGACCACCTTTCAGCAACAGCTCTGGTGGGATGCCGTCTACCCCTGCTGCTCGACCGGGCTTGAGCTTGCCAATCGCCTCCAGCACTTCCTCCTGTGTAGGGGGGTCAGCAGAGATGGAATCGTCCTCTGAAGCCTCGGCTACTAGGGATTCCAACTGTGGTGAGGGTGGTGGAGGTGGTCGGTTGAGCAGGTTGCAGAAGTGCTCTCTCCAGCGGTCCAGCTGCTGTTCTGGAGTATCCAGATCAGACCCATCCAGGGCCTTTACACACGCTGTGGGTGGAGTAACTTTCCCTGAGAGAGTTCTGAGGGTTTTATACAGGGTGCCTTGATTCCCTGTGCGTGCAGCGGTCTCAGCCGTAGTCGCCAGGTTGTTTAGCCACCGTTGCTTGTCCCTACTGAGGAGGTGATTCCTCCTAGAGTTCAGCCTCCTGTACTCCTCACGGTTCCCTCGCAGTCGGGCTTCTCTCCTTGCCTCAACTACTTGTAACGTCTCTTCTGACAGGAGATCCTTCTTTCTGGTCCTTTTGTGACCCACCACCTTAGTTGCGGAGCTTGTTAGACCTTCCTTGAGATCCTCCCAGATTTTCTCTGTGTCGTCGTCTACATCCGCCAGCACAGAGAAACGGTTCTGCAGATCCAACTGGAAACGGTCGACCACCTCCTGTGACTGGAGTCTGGCCACATCATACTTGCGTTGTTTATGCTGAGTTGTAGTCTTCTCTAGACGAAGAGCAACGGTCAGGGCTAGAAGTCTGTGGTCCGTGTTCCCGAATTCTGCACTGCGGAGAACCCGACAGTCCGAGGAGGAGTGCCAACGTGAGGTGGTAAGGATGTGGTCCACCTCCTTAGTGGTGTAGTGGTCGTTACTGATCCAGGTCATGCTGTGGATTCTCTTGTGGGGAAAGAAGGAGCGTTCCGTGCGCAAACGGTGGCTGGAGCAGTACTCCAGGAGTCGTCTGCCGTTATCGTTGCATTCGCCGACTCCGTGGGGGCCAAGACAGTGCTCGAAGCCGCGTCTGTCCGAGCCTGTTGCGGCGTTGAGGTCTCCCAGTACCCAGATGATGTCATGTCTTGAGATACCACTTGTGAGGGCTGACAGCTTTATGTAAAATGAGTCCTTGTCCTCCTCACTGGCTACTTCTGTGGGGGCATAGGCGACTATGATGGAGATGTTGCCATGCTTGTGGCGAAGGCGAGCCATCAGAAGTCTGTTGTCTACCGGCTTCCAGTATACAAGAGCACGATGCGCTAGGGGGGCGAGGGCAAGGGCTACCCCTTGACGACGTATGCCATCATTCCGCCCAGACCAGAGATAAGTATATCCGTTGGTTGCATGGGTGCCAGAACCAGGCCATCGGACTTCAGTAAGTCCTGCTAGTGTGATGTCAAGACGTGAGAGCTCATTTGATACCAGCTGCGCTGAGCCGTCCTTGCTCATAGATAACACATTCCAAGTAGCAATTTTCATAATGCTGCCATTTTTCCGTTTGCGTAAGTCCATCCGTTCCTGGGTCAATGAGCCATTTTGGTCAGTCCTACTGCAATTTTCAACTTGTTGAGGTTTCGTCGCAATGGTTTTTTCCGTGG